GGGGAGATTATTCATCCACCAGGAGTAAACGTTCGGCGCGGCCATGCCCCGGTTGAAGGGGCTAGCGCAACATCCCCGCCTTCTAGCCCCTGTCTTATTCGCGAAGAGGAACTCGATCAGAGGGGGGAGGCATGAGTCAGCCCTCCACACGCTGGAAGGCGGGCCAGGCACCCCGAGCTCAGGGGGGGGGGGGAGAGCGCGCGCCGCCTGGGATACCGATAGAGGTGCGCCCCTCCGGGCATACTCCCGCTCCCTGCCCGCCCCCCCCCCCCCCTGAGCATGGCACCTCACGCGTTCCGGCTGGCAGCCGTGCCCGGTGGCGCCCGATCGGAAGCGCGGGCCGGCTTCCTCGATGAGGCAGGTAGAGGCCGTACAGCCGGGCGCTCACGCCGGTACACAAGGAACACCGGGCGAGGGGGGGGGCGAACAGCTCGCCGGCCGGGAGCCGAGCCGCTTGCGCCACACACACACACACACACACACCGGGCACATGCGCAGACGCTCACTCATAGAGGCGCACACATGCACACGCACATGCACGCGCCCGGGGGGAGGGGTCACTCATCGCCGAGGCGTCGCAGGTGCTGGGCAGGCGAGGACACGACCGGCTGTTCGGCTGGGCGGCCCTCGGCGCCGAGAGGGGAAGAAGGCGCTCGTGGGTTCGTCAGTGAGCCATCACCCAGGGGCCAGGGCAACCGAGCAAACCTGGCGAACATACCCCTCCTGCCCTGCCACCGAGAGATAGCACGATGCCCCCCCCCCCCTCCTCCTCTCTCTCGCCCGCTTTCCTCTCGATCCTGTGCGCCCGCGAAAGGTCGTTCCGGGTGGCCCACATCCCGGCCCACACGGGTGAAAGCAGGTGGGGAGGCGACTGGCGACACGGGGGGGGGGGAGGAGGGGGGCACGGTCCGGCTGCTGTTGTTGTTGTTATTAGCAGCCGCTGTTATTATTTGCGGCCATGAGGGCGCCGCCGATCCGCGGCCGCCTGGCCCGGGCACAAGCGGGCCACCCACACCGGGCCAGCCAAATGTGGCGTCCGCCGGCCCGCCGCCGGTGGTTGCTGTCCCGTCCTGCCGTTCCCCGCCCCCCCGCCCCCCCGCCCCCCCGCCCCCCCTCCCCCGATGCTGCCGATAGTTTGGACCCTCGAACATCGGGCCGACCTTCCTTTCCGTGGAAGACGCCCGGGCACGATTGCCTCGGCGAAATGCCCCATAATATGCGCGCAAATGAGCTCACGCGCGGCCGCCCAAGAGGGCGACGCCACGCCGGCCCGGAGGCGGGCAAGCCGGCGGCTCTTGCTCGCCCGCCGGCGCCGAGACCGCCGCCCACCGCGGCGCCGCCGTTCGCCGGTCGACGCCACCCCAGGCCGACGCCGCGCAACGGTCTTCGGAACGAACTTTTTTCCCAGGACCCAGGGTACGGCACATGTTTCCCACACGGCCCCGTTCCCACACAGTCCCCGGCAGACCCTGCCGACATCGGGGCCGCTGGGAATCGGCCATCCCACCGGAGGTCGGCCTCCCCGCGCTTGGGTGCACTTTCCCACCTGCTCCGGCGTCCCGCCAGCGGTCTGGGTCCGGGGACGACATCCCTCGCCAGCGGTTAATCACTAGCCTCCTCCGCCCCCCCGCCCCCCCGCCCCCGTCAACCTCCGGACCGGGCGGAGATCGGGACTCTAGCCCACCGGTGGGCGCGCGCGCGTGCGCGCGCGAGAGAGAGAGCATGGCCGCGCCCCTCGCCCGCCCCTTCCTGGCCTCCGGCGCTTGCTCACCCCGACGCCCTGTCGGGGCCAGCGGTCCAAGGGGCTGGCCGCGCTGGCCGCCTCCACGCGCAAGCGCCCGCTTCCGGCCCATCATGCGCGTGTGCGCGCCCACCGCCGCAACCCCGCCGACCAGGCCCGCACAGACCGGAAGGGCATCCTTCGGCCAGGCCGGCAAGCTGGTCAGCGGCCAGACTTCGACGCAGGGCGTGAGTGCGCCCGGCTCCTCGTCCGGGCGGCTCCTCGCGATCGCCCCGCCACCCCCACACCCCCTTGCCCCACGGAACGCGCCTCACCCCTGAGACCTGTCATCGCTGATACCCCCGCCAGTGGTGAGCCAGCACTCCCGCCACCTGGCACGCCCATCTCCCTTCCCCACGAACGGAGCTCCGGCGCGGCCCCTCACCCTGGACCGCGGTGAGCCCCGGCTGCCCGGCTCGCGGGGGCGAAAAAAAACAAAAAAAAACAACACCGGCAGCCGATGTGTGCCCCGTTGGCTGGGCTGAGATGTCGCATTCCTGGCCGGCTCGCCTGCTTGTTCGTGACAAACATTGCCCACAGGCGGGCACCTACCGACACCTCGGCCCCGACAACCTGAGTCAGCGACCGGCCGGAGGCGGGGGGGGGGGGGGGGGGCGTTCGCTTTCGACGTCGTCCCCCAGGCCCTGCCTTCGCGCGAACTCATCCACCCAGGCAAAAAGCAAGCACATATGCCCCTGGTGATGATGGCTGCACTTGCCATATGCCCCGCGGATATGGGCAGTTCCAAGTGGGCATCGGCGCACACACACGCACACATGCGCGTGCGTGCGCCCACACAGGGGGAGCACGCCGAGCACGAGAACATACATTCTCCCCGCCCTCGCGCCGCCTCTCCTCCTGCCTGCCTTCCTGCTATGTGCCTCCAGGTGGGCCGGCAGGGGGCTGTGGTCAGGAATGCGGGGCCCGCCCCGGCCAATGTCCCCAGGCCGGTGCATGTCAAGATCAATGCCCGGCCCCAGCACACCATCGGGAGGGGTGTCCACTCGGCCAGATGACTTCGAGAAAGAACAAAAAAGGGGTCATGCCCTGCAGCTGGTGGCGGTCCCCGCCGCCCCAAGGCCTCGCCCGAAGGGACCTTCATAGCCCAAGCCGCCAGAGCCGGTCGCCGGACCGGCCCGCCCCCCCCCTCCCCCCCCCCCCCCCCCCCCCCCCCCCCTGCGGAGGGGCAGATCTCCTTCGCCCAGGGGACGGAGGAGGCGCTCACAAACAGCCCCGGCCGCAAAGAGGGGCAGCCGACGGGCGTTTGGTCCCACTCACACACCCACACTCACACACACCCCGGGGGGGGGGGGGGGGGGGGGCAGAGGGGCAGGGGGCGACGACACAGGCGGCCCAGCCGCGCCATGAGCAAAGCCCTCAGCACATTGTTCCATGGCAGGAACCGGGGCAGAGCGCATGGCCTCACACATGGGGCAGCCCTTGTCCGGGTGTGTTCCCTCCTCGCCGTCACGCTTGGCATGCCACTTCGCCCGGAAACTGTCAAGCCCCCTCCCCCGCCACGGACCGTCGGTGGCTTGCGATGACCCGCGACTCCCGGGGGCAGGGGGAGGGGTGTCGCGAAAACCGGCCCGCCTGCCGGCACGGCTTCCTCTCTTTCGCCGAGGGCGCGGGGCGGATCCGTCCCGCGCCCGCCAGGTGCAAGAGCCCTCGCCGGGTGTCTAGGGCTCGCCCTTCTTGGCACCGGCCGCCGGGAGGCAATCCGGCCGCGCCGCACCTCCTGGGCGACCGGCCCGACGCCCGGCCAAGGACAACCGGACGAATCCCCTTGATTGGAGATGGCTCACCGAGCCGTGCCCAAGTGCATCCATGGGTCTCACAGGCAACTCCAGCCATCCTGCCTGCGATGGGCTCCCGGCGCAGGCTCCGCCCGCAGGCCACTCCGGACTTGGCACGTAGGCGGCGCCCCCCCCACCCCGCTCGCACAGGAGGCACTGGCGCAGACGTGCGGAGGCACCGGAATGCACATTGTTGCCACTTCGGCCCGGTAGCCTGGGCGCTGGCAAATCATGTAGAAAGCCCCAAGCCGAGGAACGGGGGGGGGGGGGGGGAAGTTGTCTCACATCAGGAGGGCGTCCGCCCCCTGTCGCAACGTTCTCTGCGTGAACGTTCAAATGGCCGCGCCCATGCTCCACCTCCGTGCGAGGATGCAACTGTTGTGGCCATGCCCAGACTTGGAAACCCACACGGCCAGCGGCACAACAGGCTCCCCTCAGTTGGAGAGAGAAAGAGAGAGAGAGAGAGACACGCACACGACAGGGGGCCGGCAAGTGAGTGGAGAGTCTCGAGGACCCGGCGGCCTCTCTGGTTGGGGAGTCCAGGGGCACCTAGTCTCATCCCAGAGCCCGTGTCCCTGCGCCCCGGAAAGAAGATGCCGCGCGAGGACGCACCGAGGTACGCGACGATGGACATTCCTGCTCCCCTTGTCCCCTTTTCAAATGACGGGACCAAGAGAGAGAGAGAGAGAGAAACCAAGCAGGAGGACCGCTCTCACCTGTGCGGGAACCCCCCGCGGAGGCCGCCCTGATCCGGCCCCCCTCCCCCTTCCAAGGGGCAAACGCGGGCCATTTCTCTCTCGCCCTGGCTATGGTTCCCCGCATATCCCGCGTGCGCGCGCATCCTAGCCCGCCCACGGCGGAAGAGAAACTGGCAGGGACCAGACAGCCAACGGCGAGCCAACGAGCAAACGATGGAAGCCAAGCCATCCGGACCACCCCTAAATGACGTTCTGGCGAGCGTGACCTAGATCGTCTCTAATGTTAACCCACTCACAGTTACGTCCGCATGGCCTGACCACTCCTCCCCATCCTCGCGCCCGGGGGGGGGGCTCTCAGGAGAAAAAGACACAGGACGAGAGAGAGAGAGAGAGAGAGAGCAGGAAACAACCGAGCTTCAGCGGACGGAACGCCTGGCAATGCCCCGTGGACAGGAAGACAAACACAGAACACATTGGAAGGGAAGTAGTAGAAGGATCTATAAATTGTGTGCGGGGGGGGGGGTAGAGACGAGTGCGCATGCGTGGACGCCTGCGGAGGAGAGAACGCCCGGCCGCCGGCGCGTGATCCCACAAACTCGCCCTCCTCTCCCGGGGGGGGAGTATGTGGCAGGGGGAGAGGGGGAGGGGAAGGGGGGATGCAAAGGGGAGGGATGAACGCAGTGGACAAAAAGAGGCGAGGGCAGGGGGGGAGGGCCCATACACACACACACACACACACACACACACCGCGCCCAAGGCTCCGGAGGCTCTCTTAGGCCGTGTTGCCGGTGGAGTTGGCATTCGCCGGAGGGGCGGCGGCAACGCCACCAGTGGCGACGTCACTCTCCTCGCCAATGCCCCAGTCCAGCTTCCGGCCCTCCTGCTCGTTGAGGTGATCCAGCACCTCCTCGACCGCGGCCCGGGTCAGCTTGTTGCCAGGGGTGGCATACGCCCGCGCCTGGAGGGTAGAGCAGAACTTGGAGATAGCACGACCCGACAGCCCGGTCAGATGGGCCAGCATGAGCTCGCGCATCTCGGGGATGATTTCTGGGCCGAGCGGTACGGAGGGGGGGGGGGGGTGCATCCGGGTGTGTGAGGGATGAGGGAAGGGGGGGGAAAGAGCAAGAAGGAGGCACAGGGAAAGAGGCGCCATGACATGACGAAATACATACCCGAGGTGTCGATCGGCCGGGGGAGCTTCCCCTTGGGAATGGGCTGCACGCGGAAGTTGTTGGTGTGCGCCTCGGTCACATACATCCGATAGTACCGGTCGAAGATCTCCCGACGCGCCTGCTCCTCGGGCAGGTCGAAGTGCACCAGCTCATCCATGCGGTCAAGGATGGCCGCATCCAGTTGGCTGGGCTGGTTGGTGGCCAGGATCAACATGTGACGCTGACTATTCTCGCCGGTCAGCGCAAGGGTGGTGTTTAGCGCGGCGCGCACATCCTCCGAGGCGGTGTTGGTATCACGCCGGCGAAGGAAAGCTGGTGGCGGTGGCGGTGGCGGTGGCGGGGGATGGCAGGTCAGCCCGTCGGCCGGAGAGGAGGGTCAGAAATGGGCGATGGAAATGTGGGGACCATGAGGAGGAATGCATGACCCGGCGCACCTTCGGCCTCATCAATGAAAATGATGGTCCCCTTCTTCGACCGATCAGCCCAGGCAAAGAGATCATGCAGCTCGGTGACCGCCTGCCCGCCGAGGGGGAGGATGTCACCACCGGCGATGATGGCATAGTCCATGCCAGCTGTTGTCGCGTGTGTGTGTGAGTGAGTGAGTGAGTGAGTGAGTGAGTGAGTGTGTGCGTGTGCGTGCGTGCGTGCAAGGGCCATAGATAACAGAGGAGTGAGCTAAGTGCACAACCAGGATGCGGCATGGAAGGGTGGTGCCAGCCATGGGAGCTGTTCGCCGAGGACAACGTACTATTTTTGGCCAGATCCTTGGCAAACATGGTCTTACCGGTACCCGGAGGGCCGTAAAGCAGGACATTCCGCAGAGGGGCACTGCGGGCGATCGAGAGGTGCAGAAGGCAGAGCAAGGAAGAGTCAGACACGCTGAAAGAACGCATTGAGGAACCGGGAATCGGGACATCAAGGGGACAGAGGGGAAGACAGAGAGAGAGAGAGAGACAGAGGCCTTCATGACGCACGCATTCTTCCGGCTGTTGCGCGTGGCCACGCTCAGCACCGACAGGCGCTCGCGCTCGCTTTCATTCAGCACCGGAGCCGTCAGACTCAGCGGCGAGGCAGTCTGCCCGCGCATGGTGTTCTGGGGGGGGGGGGGGGGGGGGGGGGGGAAGGATGGTCAGAGGGGAGGGGGAAAGAAAAGCCAAGCCTGATAGTGACGAGCGGGCTCGAGAGAGCGAGAGAGAGGGGCAGAGAGAGAGAGGCTTGGAGTGCAGGTGTCGCCGGATGGCCTGGAAGGGTCCGTGGGTAACTCTTCCTGACGGGGGGGGGCGGGGGGGGGGGGGGGCGGGAAGCGAAGAGGTGAGACGCATGGACACTTAAAAAGAAGGAATGGACGATATGTCGAGGGGTGGATGGGCGAGCGGGCGGGCGGCGAACAAGAGCAAGGGCAGGGGGGGGCGGGGGCGGGGGCAGATTTGCATGCGTACCAGCGCGCGAGACAGCAGCGACACCTTGGGAGCACCCTCCTGGCGTGGCTTCAGCAGCGACAGCAGCGACGAGCGGCTGCTGTCCCGCACCAGGGCCGGGGTGTTCATGCGCTTGACAATGACACTGCTGACCACCGACATGGAGGCCCGGGTGGCAAACACCAGGGCCAGGACGGCCGTCACACCGACCACCAGGTTGGTCGTGCGCCGGGGATCCGACAGAAAGTCGAACGCCTCGTCCGCAATGTCGGTGATCTTCTGCCGCATGAGCTTGGACTCGGTCTCACGACGCTCGCGCTGCTCCAGCAACATCAGATCCCGGTGAAGGTCCTCATTGACACGCTCCTGCATGATGCGGCCCTGCGTCTCGGCGGCCACCTTCTGCATCTCGGTTTCGCGGTAGAGCTCCTGCTCGTGCTGCAGCGTCCGACGGCGGAGGTCCTCCTGCCGCTGGGCCGAATGCTCCTCCCGACGAAGGCGCTCAAGGGCCAGCGCACGCTCGGAGGCAATGCGATTCTGGAGGTGCTGCTCCTCCAGCTGGTTCTCGCGCTGCAGCGCCTGCGCATAGGCCTCGGTGCCGATCTCCAGCGACTTCCGGTGCTGCTCATGCACGCGGGGAATTCCCTGGACGTCGGCCGCCGCCATTTGCACTCGCTGCTGGTCAATCATGAGTGCCTCCTCCGCGGACTTGGTGATGATGGTCTCCTGGTACAGCTCCGAGAGGGGCCCCGAGTACTTGGAGTTGGCCATCGTCC